TTATACTCACGCTGTGATCAGCGGCAGCTGGATGCAATAATCGCATGCCAATGTGCATTGGCTCGTTTAGTTTACACTCGAAGTAGATTGGTCCCTCTAAGCGAGATCCCAATTCGTCGGTCATCCGACGTGACGTCTCCGTTCCCTCCTTCAGGGAACGAGGGTTACATACGTAACCGAGACGTTACTTATGAAAATGTTAACGATTACAAAGGGAGTTACATCTGAATATTTTAACACATACAGATTTAATTGATTTCGTTCCAAAATTGCCTTTATTTCCTATTTGGGTTTATGTATATACTTAATTTTTTAAGATTAACAGTTTTTTTTCCAAGGCATTGTTAGATGCCAGTGTTTCCTGTCATAGCTATGCAAAGAGTTGATTTCAAAAACAGTATCATAGCTATTAAACTATTTCTTGTTATGATTTTAAATCTGGATTTAACCTCAGAATGATCTCAAAGTAAAAAGAGGTGCTAAAGTCAGATTTTGTGGTGGCTGTGCTTTCAAAATAAAATTATTATAATCTTAATTCAAGTGAAGAAGGATTTTGAAAGTCTGACAATAATCAGTGTTGAGTACCACTACTGTAAGGTTAACCCTTAACATGTTTAGATGTTTGGAAATGATTTAGAAAAATTTAGAAAACATTTTTTGAAATTTAAATGTAGAAAAGTAATCAAAAAGTAATCCAATAATCAGTTACATTACACTACTTATTATGAATAGGGTAACTTGTAATCTGTAACCTATTACATTTCCAAAGTGACCTTCCCAACACTGCTTATAGAATATAAGAATATAATAAATTATAAAATATATAATATTTAACACAGTAAATAATAATAACAACAATAATAATAAAACCCTAAGACTACACTTACCTGTATGTTTTAAGGTGGTACTTCCTGTCTCTTATAATGTGAGGTGCTCGGGACAGGATGGTGTTTCGTAACACTTTACCTGCCCGCAGGATCTTTTCTGACGGCACCTGAGAGACAAACAGAGAGAGACAGACATAAACCACTCTATACATAACATATAATGTATATGTCAAACAGCTCAACACTGTGACTGACAGCTGTCAGACCGATAACAGGATGGTTGGAATACCTGAGTAATGGATTCGGGGGGACGTTTGGTGGGACTTTGAATGAATGATTTCTGGAAAACAAAAGGATGGGGATGAGATGGATGCAGGACCATTAGGTTTGTTCTTTAGTCTTTTGTTAACCTTTACACAACACAGTGAAATATTGGCAGACAGTTTAAGTGTATATTGTTTATGGCTGACAGAGTAAACTGTAAAACTCTTTAATAATAAATGACTGCTTTCTGTGAAATATTCAGCCACACTGACTCCATATATATGGGAAAATGCAGAGTGAGCAATATCATAACATCTCATTTGCTGAGGCATGACTTTTCCAACAAGAATTTACAATATCTTGAGTCACATGTTGAAGAGAAAAAGCATTTAGATAATTTTCAAATGTATAATAAAAAAAAAAAAAAATTTAAACATTACATAAAATTGTGATACTCAGAAAGCAACATTTGCACATTTTCTGGAGAAAAGACAAATAAATAAACTCTATATTTTCACACAACTACACTACCTAGTATGCATGTGTGTATGTTCATTCATTCATTTTCTTGAACCTTCATACCTACATTTTCATTAAAATGTTTAATTAGCGTGTTTCGTTCATGTTCAATGCTATAAGACAATGAAATCCCATGCATCAATGTTTTAAACTATATTTACATGCTAAACTAAATTTTGGTGAGTCAATTTGGTTGTACCCAATTCTTTGAAAGTGCCATTTTTTTCATAACAAACCCATCAGCATTAAATCACGTGCTTTAATATCAGAACAAATGTCATCACGAGCAGCTTGTGTAGAATTCTGCTGATGTCCAGCTATTCTCTTCTCATATTTCATAATAATTCATATCATGGTGTCATACTGCAGTGTTTCTCAGCGCTTCGAGCAGAAGGCACGTCTGGGGCACTGCTCTCCCTCCTGACGCTGGGCCAGGGCCAATCTGCTGCATTTTTAACCAAACCGTTTAAATAATTCATGACCATCCTCACCCAGACTGTACATCTACAACAACACACGACCCATCATCAAACTCTACAGTGATTATCACTAGACACACTTCACACTGCTTCTATCAATCAGTCAGTGTGTTTGACAGTGTGTCAGTTTTGCCAACAAAAATATCACATTATATTTAAGGTAAAAAACTAGAGGCAAAGCCATTTAAGACCTTTTTACAGTTTTTCTCGATTGCTAAAACACTATAACCAGGCTTTTGAACTAAAATTTCAAAACCATAATGCCATTTTTCAAAAAGCACACCCATTTTGCTGAACTATAAACACTATTCCCCTGCTTTAACACATGAGTCAGATTTGGTGAACTGTTACTGCAAAACTCTACACACAAATCCCTACATTTCTCAGTGCTTACACCATGTGGTCATTTAGAAAGCACTAGCATTCAATACTGTTCACTCAAGTCAGCACAGCTTGAGCTCAATTAGCAAACAATTACCCAGGTGGAAACACTAAGAGTCAAAATTGAACACACATCAATCAGATCCTTCAATAAATAGATAAAAGGGCCCGAATCAGTTCACTGAGCTTTGGAACAATGGATCCACAGAGAAATGAAGGAATAGGTAGAAGAGGAAGAGGAAGAGGAGGGAGAGGAGGCAGAGGAGGGAGAGGAGGAATAGGAGGAAGAGGAATAGGATGAGGAGGAGGGATAGGAGGAAGAGGAGGAGGAGGGAGAGGAAGAGGACGTGGTGAAGGAGGAGGGAGAGGAGCCATGCAGGGGTGGATCAGGCATGCAAGAGGATTTTACCCTCGCTGCCTGGCTAGGGCCAATATAGCCTGTGATGTGGACGAGATTCTCTGGCCTGACCCAGAACAAAGACGGGATGCTGAGGCGGAATTATTTTTTTTTACAGTTGTGCTGTGTAGTACATGAATGAATAAAAATGTGCCAATGTATACATTGGTTGTGTCTTTTGTGTTCATGTGAAAAGGTTTTTGAGGGGGAGAACCACAAGCAACATAACTTACCAGTTTTGGATATATTGTTTTGAATTTATTGCACCAGTGTGTAATACTATGTTGTGTTGTGTGTGTGTGTGTTTTTGAAAGCTTGTGTGTGATGTCTGAGGGAAAAGTTTGGTTTTTCAGCAAGAGTGAATGGTTTTGAGTGTAAAGCTTCATTTTGACCTGAAAATAGGATGTTTGGGGAATTGGGTGAGACGTTATGGATGTGTTTACTGTTTTGAGAATACGAGGCATAGTTTCAAGAAATGTGTTTAAGCAATTGAGAAAACCGTAAGACCAAGTAAAGAAATACATCAATGTGTTCTCTTAATGTAAATGTCTTGTATTAGCAACTCTTCAAAGTTTGAAAATACAACTTCCAACCAAACTCAATTACTTTAATGACTTTTAAATAAAGATATATTTTCTTGAGAATATATATATATAGATTTTTTTTTTTTAAGTTGGTGAAAAGTAAGTGTTTATCATTAAAACTGGGGGAAAAATCTGCGTACATTTTTTCTCTTTGAGTCTAAGAGTTTTTATACCCTATTGACAGATATTTGTTCCCAAGCATAAACTCACAAGTAAATGTATCTTGTTTTAAAAATGTTTAGATATTTGTATTGGAAAATAACAAAAAATACTGAGGAATACTGATTAATTTTTAGCAATGCAATATTTAATTCCATGCCTTTATGAATTTAAGATTTTCTGCTCTGATTTAAGACCTTTTTAGGCCTTAATTTGTGGAAGAGCGAATTAAGACTTTTTAAGACCTGCAGAAACCCTGTTTATGAATTGGTCAGTTTTGAGATTTAGGGCTAATTTGATATTTACTGATGTTCTGAAAGTTTTTACAGAGTGCATATTTAATTAGATAATTCCTTTTTTGCTTGCTTTTCAGACATTTCAGAAATCTAAAACAAAATGTATTGTGTTATGCTGTGAAAAAGTGGCTGGAGAAATATGGTGATATCTATTAGTTTGAATCTGTTTTCAATACACACACACACACACACACATATATATATATATATATTAACAAAAGTGTTGCGTTTATAATTTTGTTCAGTGTATATATTGAAAACATGCTTTTAGGACTCAGAACTTCTTCCCAGTTCAAAAAGACCATTAACTGAAACTTACAAGCAAAAATATCTCAAAATTGTTTTTGTTCCAAACAAACAGATTCTGTCTGCAATCCAGCCAAGCTACTCTAATGCAGAGCTTAACTCACGCAGAACAGACTGTGAGCAGTATTAACAGTGAACTCATCCAAGTTCAAATCAATTTAAGCGTGTCAGCTGAGCTCTTCAGCATCTTACAGCATGATTTACACACTTCCTTCATTACATAACGATTCTGTACATCCTGCGAGACGGATTCCTCCTTCTGTTAACCAAAGCCACAAACACACTTAAGTGAATAAAACAACACCATTATGCAAATCACAGAGACTGTGTGGTGGCCGGTATTGATCGTCTGCCGGTGTGGATGCATCTTTAGAGAATGAAAAAAGGAAAAACAAAGCACTAAAAATGACAGACGCGCTGGCTGTCGGAGCAGTGGACGGGAAATGACCCGAGAGGTCAGAGGAACAGGAACATTTACACAGAAATGAGAAAGAGAGGATGCCAGAGCTACCCAGTTCGTTTCACATTTCAAACAAATGTATTCTTGTTCTGTCGAGGAGATGGTGGGAAGGAAGGATGCAGTTATATCAGAACTGACGCAAACAGGAGAAATAACAAGAACTCTTTTTGCATGTTAGGTGAGTCAAACACTGTTTAAGATGGACTTCAAGGAGCTTCTCATGAACAGGCTAGGAGAAGTTCATTTTCTCTGCACATTTTTGGACATTGTTTATTTTCAAAAGAGAAGCTGGAGTTGTTTCATTATTAGCTTTGCCTCCTGGTGTCAGGCGTGCAGAGAGTTTGTATGAGATTTCACAGTACGCTCTTAAAAACAAAGCTTCCAAAGGGAGGTTTTCACAGCAATGCCAAGAAGAACAATTCTGGTCACCAAAGAAACTATCAGTTAACAGTTCTTAAAAAGAACCATTATTTCTTAGTGTGAAGAACTATAGAGCTTTCCACTATAAAGAAGTGTTTGTGGAATGGAAAGGTTCTATGGATGCTAAAGGTTCTTCATGGAACCATAGATGCCAAACAAGAACCTTTTAGATTTTTAGATTATTCACAAACCACCTCAAAATATGGGCAAACAGGACATCTTATATTGTCAAAAAGAGTTTTTAAGCAGATAAAATTGAGCATGGACAGTCCTATGTGATATAGCAGTGTAGCACCATATTTAATTTTTGACAGGAATGAAAACAAGGCTGTGAGGGATAGATGTACAGTGTCTTGCATGCAAATAAGCAACTAGTTAATAGTAAAAAATGTTCCCTAATCTTAAGTGTTGCGCCTATTTTTAAGACGTTTTATTGTCCTTTTATTGTGCTTTCTGGAGCTCGACAGCACTCAAGACACTTTGCTAAACTTTTGCGTCCCACTGAAGAATGAAAATCATATACTTTTAGAATGAGGGTGAGTAAATGACTGATTTTGGACAGAAGAGTGAACATGTGGCCTGACTGAAGAGATGAAAGATTTCAAAGACAGAAGCTTAAAACAAACCTTATTTAAGTGTTTGGATGATGATCCGGGTGAACTGTTGTTCAGATTCTCTTTGTCTGGCATTCCTTGTAAACAAAATAAAAGAATTATAGGATGAATATAAAAGATGAAATCTTTAAAATCTAATATTGAGCAGCATCATTTAGTCAAGATCAGCAGATTCAGCAGAAGTGATAGTTAAGTAAGAAGATTAAATATAGTGTGTAAAGTCATAGGATGTGTGTAATCTTCAGTAATGGGTCCTGAGGGGCTGCGAGGATCAGCGGCAATCATTACACACACCACAAAAGCTTTCTCCTTCAGGAACAATAACTCCTGGACAATAGCATATACGACGCTTACTGAATTACACACATAAACACAGAAATCTCAGACAAAAAGAAGAGTTTTAAACCTTTAAAACATGCTAGTTTACTTTAAATTATTTTATAACAGCAAAAAAAAAACTATTTTTTTCAAGAGCTGATCACAATGTGCCATGTTTGATTATGCAGAAGCAGAAATGAAGAATAAGAGTTACAGCAGAAGGGAATGAAAGGCATACAGTACACCACCGTTCAAAACTTTGGGCTCAGTAAGTTTTAAATAAACTGATAGTTTTATTAAGCAAAACATGCATTCAATTGATTAATGTGACAGTAAAGACACATAATGTTACAAAAGATTTCTGTCAAATAAATGCTCTTTTGAACGTTCCATTCATCACAGAATGATTTCTGAAGCATCATGTGACACTGCAGACTGAAGTAATGATGCTGAAAATTCAGCTTTGCATCACAGGAATAAATTATATTTTAAAATATATTTAAATAGAAAACAGTTATTTTAAATCGCAATAATATTTCACAATATTACTATTTTTCCTGTATTTTTATTGATAATAATTGCATCTTTGGTGAGATTACGAGACATGAAAACAAACTTTTGGTGTATGTTTTGGTATTTTTCTCACAAAAAGCTATTGTATGATTTCAGAGGACATATGTGACCCTGAACCACAACAAAACCAGTCTTAAGTGTCAATTTTTCGAAATTGAGATTTATACATCATCTGAAAGCGGAATGAATAATCTTTCCATTGATGTATGGTTTGTTAGGATAGGATGATATTTGGCCGAGATACAACTATTTGAAAATCTGGAATCTGAGGGTGCAAAAAAATCAAAATATTGAGAAAATCACCTTTAAAGTTGTTCAAATGAAGTTCTTAGCGATGCATATTACTAATCAAAAATGAAGTTTTGATATATTTACGGTAGGAAATTGACAAAATATCTTCATGAAACATGATCTTTACTTAATATCCTAATGATTTTTGGCATAAAAGAAAAATCGATAATTTTGACCCATACAATGTATTTTTGGCTATTGCTACAAATATACCGCAGTGACTTAAGACTGTTTTTTTGTGCTCCAGGGTCACATTTATCAAAGCATATACAGTATATTGTACTACTTACTGTATAAGATACTTTCAACGTGATTTTTGCTTGATTTTTTACAGACCCTCATCACAATATGCTTTAGTTTTATGGAGAAAAAAAAAGAAAGGAGTTCGGAAAATGTATCTTTTGTTTTAAAGAATGAAAGTCATACATGTGTGGAACAAAACCAGAATTATCACTGTTGGGTGAACAAAGACAAGTGTTTGTACTTACTGTCAGTATTTGGGCCGCTCTCCATAACACCGTAGGGAGGGACCAGCAGACCAGCCATACACTGACGATAATTCTGAAAGACACAAAACACTCCAGTCACATACGAGAGGTGGCACAAAGACATCGAAAAGAAATGAATAAATTACTTGAAATAGACAAATAATGTCAACATGAAACTCAGTTTGAACCAAAGTACTTAGTACGTGTTCCTGGTCTTTTCGTACAAACTTCATCAGTTATTGCAAAGAAAAACAAGTTTGTTTTCTCAGTTTTTCATCAAAACTTTCCTTTATATCTGGTCACTTTTTTCAACTCTTTTCTGCTAATCACTTGCTATATTGAGACATTTCTCATGATCCAATCATCTCCTGGTGGATAAAATCAAGTCCTGCCCTACATTTTTGGTTGAAAATCCCGTTTCACTTGGAAATACATCAGAATGTGGAGGTAAATGGGTTGTGAACAACATTTCTTATGAGTAGAAGAGTTGGTCATATATGAATAATAGACGCAGACACGCATGAACACACACACACACACACACACACACACACTCACATTTGCTCAGTGATGTAAAAGCTATAAGAGACATAACTAACAGCATGAGTTTTTTAGTAACGGTACACATAACACACACATGAAAACCACCATAAACCTGGTCCCCCAACTGAGTCTGCTTCCTCACAAGGTTTTTCTCGCCTAAACATCCCATGAAATTTCTTGCCATAGTCGCCTAAACTCTAGTTTAGCTTTAGATCTGCAGCCCAGAACGATGGACTCATCTGAGCACAAATAAGAAAAGCAGTTTGAGAGGAAGAGTTTGGAGAGTCGTCTGTAATCTCTTTAATCAGGTCTGACTGCAGATCAGAAAGGATTATGCTGGATTAAATCAATATTTCTGAACCAAAGATCAGACGGCACACACAGGTCACACACATATGCACATTACTGACACAGAGCTCCTGATGTACAGTACACATCAAATACTATCACAGGTACCAGCTCTATATACCAGTAGTCTTTATGCACACTATATGCAATGCATTCATGCCTTAATATAAAAATGTTAACTTCACAGTGTTAAAGATAGTAGACTTTAGCATACTTTTCAAAAGAGTGTCTATTACAAAAACAATATAATTTAAAAGAATATTCTTAAGTGTGAGGTGAATGTAACATTTTTGGACACTTAATTACGTTAATGAAAATGCATTTAAATGTATATTAAGTGCAGTATATTTTTGATCCACTTGGGTAGGACTTAAGTACATTTATATTTGTAATTTGATAATTACTTCTATTGTCTTTACTAAGTGTAGTACTGAATACGGACTATAGCATTAATAGTAAACTAAAATCTACTTTTATGTCATTTCTATTGAATATTTTATGCCATGTATTTAAGTATATTTGTAATTACACATTTCAAATGATGAAGATGCAATTTAGTATATTTAATATATACAGTATACATATATATATATATATTAGTGTTGTCAAACGATTAATCGCATCCAAAATAAAAGTTT